ACCAAGCCAGGCCTGTGTGCCTACAGATGTGACAGTATTGTGGCTGGGGGCAATGCCGGTTAACAAATTTTCTGGTTAACAGAGTGCCGGATAACAAAGCTTTCACTGTACAGTAAAACACTTTTACTTTTGTGTGATGATTAAAATCAATACAGTAGGCCTATTGAACTCGATAGGGTTTGTAACCAGAACGGAATGATTATTAGTTATCACTTAAACCTGTATGGGTGAACAAGCTGAGTGCTTTTATTCAGGAATAGTTCTGATTGTTCCTGAACAAAGGAACTGGTGTCAACATTTAGCATGGGTAAGAAGAAAGGAAACAATTAACACTGGAACTTTATGGGCTGTGTCTTTTTGGGTTGGGGTGAGAGTTTAGAGTTTAAATGAAGAAAACTCCTGGATCACCACTTCAACTAGCACTGTGTTTAGAAAGAGCTTTGGTTTTATTTTTCACTTGTGTTTACAGAAGTAGGATTTTCCCTTGTCTAATCCAAATTCCTCAAAGCTCTTAAGGTCTGTTAATGTGGCTGGATAATTGATGCTACAGTTATGATCAGAATTGAAAGCCTGGCTTTTAATTTGAGAATGTATTACCTTACTGATGGTGTTACAGGGAAATCAAAATAACCTGTACTGTGATGGCTATCTATACATTATTTGTTGTAGTGTCTGCAGTAGTTATCATTAACATCTAAACAGTTAAGGGTTCCAAAGTCATAGCATTTCAGTGTCACTACCTGTGAATTTTTGGTTGGAATTGATCTTTGAAGGGAAAATAGAAGACTTGGGGTAACATGTAAGAGCCTAAATCTCTCAAATGAGACATAGAGCCCAAATTACTTGCATGCTTTTGGAAATTTTACTCTAAAACAACAGAAAAGATGTTAAAAGAATGTTTTTAGAAGGCATGAAAGTATAGCCATGTTAGGTGATTATCCATAAAAAGCAAATTTAAAAAAACTTAATTCTAGTCAAAATCATTCCTTTTGCAGATAAAATGTATTTAGTTATTAAAGATTACTTTTTCCCGCCTTTAGCACTTGTGATTTTTGAGATGGTTATGGCTGCAGCAAGTGCTATTTGGTAGTACATGAGGGGACACAGAATCAGATAATACTACTAATGTGGTTGAGTGAAGTAAATAATATTCCCACTCTGCCTACAGTTTCTGCAGAAATTCTGTTTTCAGTTACTTAAGAAAATACACAAATGTATTTTTCTCTTGTTTGCAACATTTGACACTTTTATTGTACTAAAGGTAAAGATTGTGCATGACGCCAGGGAAATAAACTGCAGACTGGTTTGTGGTCAGTCTTCAGCTCATAAAATGAATTGGTTATTGCAAATTAACAGTTGATAAGTGCATCATCCTCTGGTGATAAAACTGTTAACTGAGTTTTAGGAGAGATTTTTTGTGGTCACAGACAAATATAGTCATGCTTTAATAGTTGGTAACCTGTGAGGAGAACCAGAGGTCAGAGAAAATATGTAGTGAGTGCAAATGGTGTAGCAACAGCTAAAGTCTAGGCATTCCCATTATAAAGGCCGTGTTTCATTTGCTCTCAACTTCAGCCTTTTGGGATGAAATTTCCCATGTTTGATCGAAGAGGGCGATGTTTTGTTTTAAGGTTAGTGGGACACAATATAGATGCTTTTGAGTACTCAAGTAGAAATGTATACTTTTTCCAAATATTATGCAACTGAACCTCTTTTGGGAACTTCTCTAATAATAATAAGCTGTATACAGTTTGCATGTAAACATTTGAATAATTGTCTTTTTAAATGAGCATGCTGCTTGAAGCACATCCAGATGTAGAATTTTGGTATGTGATTAAAATGTACTGAACAAGATGTTGGAATGAGGTAGGATGTAGTAAAAGAAGAGTGGTTATTGGGAAACATAATTAAGGTTATACACCTGCTGCGTTAGTTGTGTACCATTTAGCATGCACTTTGAGGGCCAAATGTTCAGACAGCATATATGTACATAAACAAATTTCCACCAACTGAAAAACATTCCCTGAGAGAGAAGATATTCCATGGAAGGGAACTAGCATTGATTTTAGACACCCAGATTCAAGTCATTGCTCCGCCATAGACTTTCTCTGTTATGTTGGACAAGTCATTTATAGTACGCATATTCTGCAATCTAATGCGTGATTGCAGCATTATAGAAATACACATGCTATAGCATAGCTTAAAAATCACACTTTAGATTCAATGGCACAGATTTCTGTTTGTGCATAGATTGGAGACCCTCAATTACATACTTATATTTATAGCCTGCACTTCAGCCTGTGTATCTGTGTCCATACTGCTAATTGTAGCTCTTAAGTGTGGGTATGTCAAGCCAGGTAGCAATCACACCTTGGATATCAGTGTAGGCATGAACTAAGACAGAGAGACTTTGATCAGGACACTAGCACTTCACACAACTCTTCTGTGAAGTAATGGATACATTCATTAGATATGATGCACACAGATATTACAGTAATCAGGGCTGTGACCCAAGAATCATTTAATGTTAACTGGCAAAAAGGATACAAGAATGTCCTGGTTCTAATATGTAAATTCTAGTTCATGTGGGGTGTTAAATGAAATACAGGGTAACTTTGGTCATAAATATCCTTGTGCATATATAAGCACAGATACTATGTAAGGGAGTGTGTATGTGTTTGTGTGTGTAATTTGCAAATACGTTCTTAGTCATGGTATGAGTCATTTGCAGAAATGAAAAACATTTATCAGACAAGATGTTTTGTTCACAGTGGATGCACACTTATGTACAAAGTTATTTAAAAGATGTAAGATGTGACCCACCAGAGAAGGAATGCAAAAAGAAACTACAGTGGGTAAACTGTCTGAGTGTAAGCAATAAACTTGTGGGGGGGGCGGGGGGAGGATATAAGTAGAATATAAAATTTATTCCTTTATCCTGCACCAAAGAAATAAACAGACCATGTATTTACATTCATGAAAATGAGGTCTCAACCAAACTTGTATGAAAAGCTGTAGAGGACTTCAGAGGTAAGATACACCTTTAGACATGACATTAACCCGTTTAAACTTAGTTTCTAGAAAACAAGTTATGGTTTTATTTTTATATGTAACTATTTTTCCTGTATTTATAACTGGAATCTTTAAATATTTGTTATTTTTACTATAAATGTATTTAAATGCTGCAATATTAAACTAAGTGATGATCCTGAGTTGACTCTAACAAGCTGGCGTGTATACTATATGTCTGGGGATAGCAGATCTGGTATTTCTGTGAATGTTCAGTGGATAAGGGGCTTGATACTACAGGGAAATGCTTCAAAAGGACTCTGGGAGTGCATGTATCTATTGTTAAACCGCGAGGCAAAGTAAGGGCAGGTGTAGAAAAGAGGAGATTGTTTGAATGGCTAATGGGCTGGTGGTATCTGGGAGCTGCCACTCAGTTAAGCACAAGCAAGACTCCAAGCAAGAGGCAGTGTGTAACAAAGTGACTCAGTCCAAGACATCTTGAGAACTGTCACAGGAGCTATGTAAATTCCATGGGTAGAGTGAGGTGAGGCTCTTTCCTGTGTGATGGATGATTTTAAAACTATATTGTAATGCACAGAGACACAAAAAGCCCAAACTTAGCTGTAACTTTTGGTTCTTACCTTTGCAACCATAACATTTTTTTTATCTGGCTTTTAAGATGGAGCAGGCATGACAGATAAAGAGATTTGTTACTATTGCTTATTTATACAGCAGTAGTTCCGAAAGACCCCAGTCAGGGTATCCTATTGTGCTAGATGCTGAACAAACATAGTCTATATCCCAAATAGCTTAGAGTAACTGGGATCATAAGTCATAGGACAGTTGCATCTTGAGGATGGATTTGAGGGAGGAGAAAGTAGTAACCTTACTACTACACATTCTCCCCAGTAAGATCCAAGCAATTCCCTTCAAAGTGCATGCTTGTTACCTGCATTCTGAGGGAATAACCGAGCCTCAGAATTCCCAGATGCAGCAGTCTTACAGTACAGGCAGTCCCCGGGTTACATTGATCCGACTTACATCGGATCCCTACTTACAAACGGGGTGAGACAACCCCGCACTAGCTGCTTCCCCCCAGCAGACCAGGGAGACGCGAAGATAGCGGGCCCCCCCCCAGCAGACCAGGGAGACGGGGAGCGGCTTTTCTCCGCAGACACCTCAGCTTGAGAATAAAGGACTGAGGGAAGTGAGGTGTGGGAGAATAAAACTGAGCTCTGGAGAAATGTTTGGCTAGAGTTCTCCCTACAATATGTACCAGTTCCGACTTGCATACAAATTCAACTTAAGAACAAACCTACAGTCCCTATCTTGTATGTAACCCGGGGACTGCCTGTATAATGAAAATATCCAATGGTTGTGAACACGGATAAGGTATCGAGATAAGTTGTCTGTGTTTCAGCAAAAGTGTTGTGATAAACAGCTCGTTTTTTCAGGTTGGATGGAATTGCCTGTCTTTCTCTTTGTCAGTCTCAAAGAGCTAATTTTCTTAAGTTTCTGTTTGCTTGCTCTTTATTTACAGATACCTTTTGTGATTCACACATACCTCTAAGGTTGAAAAAAACAATTGGGTTAAGGTTACAGCTGTTTCATTTCCTGACAGATGCACAGATACTGGTGTGCTGGTTTACTGCAGATGTGCAGACACGCATCAATCTCATTTTGCATCAGTGACATATCACATGACTGGCTATGTACTGAACTCCTTGTTCTGGACACTCTGCCAAGTATTTTATGCAAAATGAAGGTTTTCTGTGAAGCAGGTTATATTGTTTTTAACCAGAGCAGTACCATATATTGTAAATAAGTGTGGTTAGTTATGAAGCATACATAGAAAAATAATTGCATATGTACAGAATGTTCCAGTAAAACAAGCAAAGTTCTGTTTGTTTGGTGAGCTCTTTTTTCTTCCTTGAAGCCACAGTTGAAATGTTTATAGCTGAAAATTGAGATGGTGTAATTTTCTTTTCTAGGAACTTGGAATTAGAATTCCTAGACCACTGGGACATGGACCAAGCAGATTCATCCCAGAGGAGGAGGTATGTTGTTTGCAAATACACAGTGAACTATATGCTTTTAAGTAAAAGTCATTTAGGACCAACATCGTTTTAGAACAGCTGTTGATCTGCAAAATATTTTGAAGACTGTTGATCATAATAAATTATCATAAAACTGGCAATGGTTCTGCTAAAGTAGAAAGCAGTAATGGCCATGTGGAATTTTCATAGCACTTCTACGCACATTTTACAAAAGAAATCAGTTGTTTTTTTGTAATGATAATCATTTGTCCTGTCCCATCTGCAGTATTCAAATGTGGGCTGGATCCTCTCACTGGTCCACAAGGACGAGCTTGTATCCCAGTTCTAGTGATTGTTGTTTTTTTTTTTTTATGAATTCTTACCATTTCTCTAAATGAACAGAAGTTTAGCAGCATTCCTTCAGCTCAAAGAGGAATTCTGATGCGAATGTGGTCAGTTTTGTGGGAAGTTTGAGGTATTAATCCTTGATTTCCCACTATTGCCAAGTACCCAGGTAGCTCTTAACTGTTTTTTTTAAACAGCATTTATGCCTTTTATAGATATCTCACTACATTTCGTTCTGTTTGCTGCTGTTTTCCACAGTGGCTAAACTATGCTGTGAGATCAGTGTGAACTGGCCCTGCCAGAGATGTGAGATATTACCTACATGAAATCAGAATTTCAGTGCTGCACCTCAAAATGTCACATGTAATGACTGCAGACTTAACTAGGATTTCTAAAGAAATGTAATAAACATTAAATTATCATTTAGAAGGAATGGCCTCCGAAACCTAATTAGGGTCTGAGATCTATGTGGTATATTCAATGATGGTTGTTATACTTTGGAAAACATTTCTAAAGCTTTCTTTAATTCAAACAGATTCTTCAAGTGGGAAATGAAGATTCCCAGATGCATACATTATTTGCAGATTCTTTTGCTACTTTGGGCCGTTTGGACAACATCACTTTAGTGATGGTTTTCCATCCACAATATCTAGAAAGTTTTCTGAAAACTCAGCACTATCTACTGCAGATGGATGGTCCATTGCCTCTTCATTACCGACACTACATAGGGATAATGGTATGTTGGAGAGCAGCAAGCAGAAATAGCTATTTTAGTAACTTTCTTTCTTTCTTTCATCCTTTTTTTTTTTTTTTTTAACAGATGTTAACCACATTTTGTTATTTCAGCTGAGCCAAAGGCCTTTCAATGTATGTTAAAGGAAATCCCGGGGTAATTGCCTGAAGTATTTTATGTTATATAGAATGCTATCTCTTCCTTTTTTAACTACAGTTTAATGAAATTAATGCTAATGGTATAAATGCTCATGCTTTCAAAAAGGATGGGAGGAGGAAAAAGATAATTGTAGTGATTATTTATATATTGCTATCAGATTCATATATACCTCAAACCTGGTTTTGTAAGCCTGGTTTTTAACAATCTGTGTCTCGTCCAGCACACTTCAATATAAATAACTTTACCAGTGGCAAATTTTCAGTATCTTCAGATTGGAACAAAATTGTTATAATTAACTATAACAGATGTAGTCTCTATTGTGCTAATTCAGCAAATCTGTTCATTTAAACTATTTTAAAAATCTGGGCCTTATCTAAACTAGCAGTGGGGATTATTATTCTTTGAGTTAAACATGTGTAATCCCATTCCTTACTGGAAAAGTGACAGTTTTTCTGGCATGTACAGACAGAACTTCAGAATCAATTTCCCACAAGTCAATTTTAGATTAGATTTTAAATATGCAAAATCAAAACATTGTTATGGTGGATATGAATGCAAAATGTTTAGTTGTGTATTCTTAAGAGGAATTATTGAAACAGGCTACTGTGTCAATTATAAACTTTTGTTTTTTGAGCAGTGCAAACTCTTGCATTTTAACGAAGATTTGCATCATTGTAAGGAGCTAATTTGCGAAGATTTTTATCATTTTTCTTTCTAGGCTGCAGCAAGACATCAATGCTCCTATTTAGTTAACCTCCATGTTGATGACTTCCTTCATGTTGGAGGAGACCCAAAATGGCTGAATGGCCTAGAGAATGCACCTCATAAACTTCAAAATTTAGGAGAACTGAATAAAATATTGGCTCATCGTCCTTGGCTTATCACCAAAGAGCATATTGAGGTTAGTTTTCTCTTATGCAACACCCTATGCATTCTTACTATATTGAATGCAATCTTAATTTCTTGAGGCTGAGGAGAGAGCTAATTTTTTCTAGTGGTTTTATTTGTAATTTTGATACTTGTAATGCCCAGGGCACTTTGTAGCTGGAGTACTGTAATCATTATGGAAATGACATCACAAACTCAAAGTAATTACAGATCTCATCTTACTGAGTAAAGTCTTATTTAGAACTAGTAATACTTTGTACGAATTGCATGTTGTTGTATCACACTGTCACTCTGTCAGCCATGATATATAACCCTCAGTAGCATGGATGTGTTTTTATATTTAAAATGTGATGGTATGTCACTGGCATGTAGCACCTGATTTTGTACGCTCTACCTGAGGGTGTGTAGAACCTACTTTTAAAATGGCTGAAGCGCTGAGAGATTTCACTTGTCTTCACAGTAGAGGGTGTTTAACTATGTACCTTCTTAAAACAAGTTCATTATACATTTCTCCTGCTCAGTATTTTCAAGATGGTGATCAATGCTCAAGACGCCCAGAAATACTCAGTATTTTCAAGATGGCAAAAAGGCATAAAAACAGGCCATCAGCACATTTTTAACTGAATTATTGAAAACCATGCATTTTGAACAGTAGGCTGGAGTCTCTAGGGTATATGTAAACAAAATATACATACAGGCAGTACCCGGGTTACGTACAAAATAGGGACTGTAGGTTTGTTCTTAAGTTGAATCTGTATGTAAGTCGGAACTGGCATCCAGATTCAGCCGCTGCTGAAAATGACCAGTGCTCTGCCCCGGGCTTCCTGGAATCAGCCGCTGATCAGTTTCAGCAGCAGCTGACTTGGGGACACCTGGGGTTCTTAAGTTGAATCTGTATGTAAGAACTGGCATCCAGATTCA